CAATGTGAGTGCCGACAACCCAACTTGGGTCCTCTGGAAGAAGAGCAGTCCTTCTTAACTACAGACCCATCTTTCCAGGGACAATGCAGTCTTTTTAAATTCTTTAAACTAATCTATATTAAGTGTGAGTTTCTTAAAGCATGAACTTACACCATTTTCACCCAATTCGAAAGTTTTTCACTTGGATGGATTTGTTTGTGGTCAATTGCCTGTCATCAATGTAGTTACTGATCAGTCTTTTTCTATTTTTTTTTTTTTTGAAGTGAACATTTCTATAATCCTACCTCGGATCCATTCTGGATTTCCTTAGAAAACATCTAAGGTCATTCTGGGGATTAAATACACATTTTTACTAGTTTCAGTCTTTCTGCATATGCAGTATAATGCTGCTGCAGGAGCATACTCTAACTGTTCTTTTATAGACTTTGTTTTGTTAATGCTGATGTTTTTGACTTTTCCTCATGAAATAAACACAGCACAGTACTGTGTAGCTTTAGACTATCGTTTATCTCTTGTGATGATTAAAATAGAAAATTAATTTTGCATTTACCTCATTTCTGCCACTCGAAACATGCTTTACTTTGTCCTTTTTCCCTTGGAAAAAATAGTTTTGTGACTTCTGTCATTCATTCAACTCACTTAAACATTTCCCAGGGTACATACATGCTGCAAATGAGTTATTTCAGCTTTTTTTTGAAAAGTATTATTTATTTAAGAAATGTTTTAGGTGGGTTTGGTAGAGTCCTTTCAGAATGCTTCATTTTCTGTGTCTGTCACGTGAGACATGTGCTGTAATCCTCATATATTTCTCTGAACATACTCTTCTCCCTTTCCCACTGAAAAACCTCTAAGAAGTTTTCATTTAATCTTTGAGAGTTTCATCCAGCATATTTTGATCTCATTCATTCCCTTCCGCCCATCTTCTCCAAGATCCGCCTCACTGCATCCAACTTCATGTTCTTCTTTCTCTTTCTTAAAAATAAAAAAATCAAAACCAAAAGCAAAATAAAAACATCACATTGGTTTTTAGCAGCGCGTTTCTGGAGTTGTGTGCATGTGTGAGTACATATATGTATGCCTGTCTTGTAGTATGGGCTTTGGCTGGTGGTATCTAAGCTTAGGCCTATCAGTGTAGATGGAAAACATTCTTCTGGAAAATTGCTGTCTGTCTGTCACATTATTTTAGAAAATTGTCTGTCTGTTATTGCCTCAGGCACCACTTCTGGTCTGCTCTCTCTGGCACTTCTTCCTGGTGTTCATCTGTTTGATATTCATTTGCAGCCCTCGGGAGTTCTCTGTGTATCCCTCTTTTCACCTCTTTATGTTTTGCTTTGGGTTGTGTCCATCCTTTTTCAAATTTGCTAATACTTCCAAGTCCTCTGATGACTCCACAAGTTGTAGTTTTAAAAATAACTCCAACCTTTCTACATGCATTCTTCCCCTCTTTGTGGCAACAGTTTTTTTTTTCCAGTTTTTTTTTTGTTTTTATTTTTTTCATTTATTTTACATACCGACCACAGTTTCCTCTCCTTTCTCCTCCCGTTCCCTCCTCCCTCCTCCTTCATCCCTTTGGCTGCCCCACTCCCTCCTCCTCTATCTCAGTTCAGAAAGGGTCAGGTCTCCCATGGGAGTCAACAAAGCATGGCCATCAAGTTGAGGCAGGACCAAGCTCCTCCCCCTGCATCAAGGCTGGGCAGGGCAGCCCAGCATGGGGAACGGATTCCTAAAAGTGGCCAACAGTTTTAAGCATATTATTCACATACTTCATATTCCCCATTTCAGAGTCCAACTATTATAATTGAGTAATATTTGAGCTAGAGATCTTGGTCATTTTGTCTCTTAGTAGATAGAGTGCTTTTAAAAATTTCTCACAGAATTTATGACTTAAGAAGAAACATGGTATGTGGGGAAGGAAAAATGGACGGGTCTGTCTGTCCAGTATTGGGCCCTTGCTGTAAGGGTGTTTCCGAGTCAGAAGTCAAGTGGGTTTTCACTTTGTTATTGTCAGCCTCGGCGCAGTGTAGACCTTAAAACCTCCAATTCATGCCTTTTATGAGGGGTGGGGAGGTTGTTTGTGAGAGGGTTTTGTTAAAACTGGGCCCATGGTCACCTTTGCTTTCTTCTTCCTGTTCCCATGAGGGTCTCTCTGTCTTCACTCTGCTGTTGAGCTGCCGTGTGGTCGCTGGTGAGCTCTGCCAGTTCTGGGGCTGTTCCAGTCTCAGGCAGGCTCCATGTTCCCGCGTCTGGGGCTGGGGACCTTCGGGCTTGTCTGGTCTGCCCTCCGGCTGTAGGGAATCTCGTTCATAGTCCCACCCCACCCCTTCCCACCCTTCCCCAGAAGTTTGCATTCTGTTCTGTGTATTGACCTTCATGTGTCTCTCCCTGTGGTCTAAGAACACCGGGATCTGCTGCTCCTCCTGGAGGGACAGCGGACTTTTACAGGTTCTCATACCCAGCGGACTTTTCCTAGCACAGCCTTCCTCTGCTCTCCATGACTGGATGATACTGGCAGTCGCCTTCTCCGCGGCTACTGTGTCTTTCTTGTAGCTGTCTGCTGGACTCTGGGAAGAGGAGCTTCTAACTAGATTTGCATTCCCTTGTGCCGGTCACTCCCATGGGTTCTGCCCTTGTGCAGTCTACACCTGACCTTCAGAAATTACCTGGAAATATGAGCTTAATTGTGCTCCCTAGCTGACCATGTGCCATGCCAGCGAGGACTACTGAAAAAGTTGACTAGTTGACTGCTTTATGACCCCCCTCTTCCTGGTTAGTTTAATCAATGCTATCATTTCACAGAGATCCACATTTTTATTATTGTCTAAAGGGAGACACATTATTTCCAATGCCCCACTTCTTAAACAGAAGCGGGCTCTTCAGGTTGGTGTATGGAACACACTGCGCCCTGAGATTGAACTGGACCTTCTTATCACTTTGGGTAAGGTGTTTGGGTGGAGGAATGAATGAATGAGAAGCTGGCGTCACATTGAAGAGTTCTGAAATGCGTGGGAAACGTGTCTAGTTAGTCCTGCTAACATGTTTGTGAAAAGTTGAGGGTTCGCACTTACGGCAACCTCTGAGATCATCTTGTCAGAGGCAACCTGATAAGGATCTGCATAGCACATGATCCAGGCTTGGGATCTGTGAGGCTGAGTCAGAACTTAGTAGATGGATGGAGGGAGAAAGGCACTCAAGAGGGAGGAAATCACAAACGTTCACGAACGCTAGCTTATAGACAGGCTGACATTTCCGGATCATGGGGCTACAGCCCGGGTCCTTATGTTTTCTGTGCTAAGAGTTTGGCCTCTCTCTCCTGCAAACAGCTGAGCATTACAAAAAAAGGTCATAAGGGTGTCACCAGAGAGCTCTGGAATAACTGTCACATCAGTTCTGAAATGAAGTTGGAGGGAGCGGTATATGCTGGGGGGGGGCTGTGCAGTGGCTTATAAGAAGGAACCATGTAAGTCAGAGTGAACACAGGACAATAGATGGCTGCCAGTGTGCTGTTAATGCTCCACCAAGAAAGCATTGCATAAATAAAGTCTTTGGTATGGCTTTGTAGTTTGGTAGACATTCTTCCCACTAGAGGTGGAAGTCCAGGTCTTAGACACCTGAAGGTGTGATGCTCAGGACTGGATGAGAGTCCAACATCTCTAGGTACAAAGGATAAAAGAAGGAGAAGATGGTACCCATGCAGGGAGAGGGGGAGGGTCCATCTTCTTTCTTTTCTTTTGTGCTTGATACCTGCAGGGCCAAGTGTGCTTGGGAGAAGGGATGGGGAAAACTAGGTTTCTTCTTTCTTCCTGGAAAGGGAAGCCTTCCCATTCAACCTTAGCATTCTGACTTTGAATCCCACCCACCTCTTCCCATTTCACAGGGAGCAAAGAGCCATAGGAGATACTGGAGGGACCCATGCATGTGGAGGCAGAGGATGGACATCTGTAAAGAGAGGTGCGCTACCGTGGCCTCTCCTAATCACACGTGCAAAGAACACCCCACTACACACAGAGTGCTGTGGGAAGCTGACAGGCACAAACGAGACAAGCCATAGGCTCGTCCTTGGGCTGTGCCATTTGTCCAATCTGTTCCCAAGGATCCAAAAACTGTTTTCAAAACCCTGACTCTGGTATGGGGGGATCGATGTGTAGTGTGGCCTTCGAGTGAAGACAGTCTTGTTAGTCCAGATTACTCATGGCCATAGATGGAGGAACATGACTAAGTTGCCTCCAGGAACCTCCACTTTTCTCCCTTTCCCCAAGATGAAATGACCTATGCATTCACTCCAATTGCCTTTTAGCCATTGAGCAAATGCCCTTGTCTGTCTCCTCTCAGAATAAACACTGAGCAACACTAGGATGCACGACCCGACTCTCAGCTGTACAGATGTTAAGATACCTGTAGGTTTAAAATATATTTATTTTAGCTATGAGTTCCTATCTCAAAGAATCTTCCTGTACTCATTTTTTCCCCCCTTATTACCCAGGGGGTAGTGTAAGCCATTCTGCTGGAGAGAGCTCTCTGGAGAGAGGCGAGGAAAATCAGCATCCTAATCTGAGATTTATGTGCACTTTCTGAAAAGCCTTATCAAGCTTGCTTTTCCCGTTTAATCTTGAGTTCTTTTCATAATGTCGTATCTTGATTTTATGTTCCTTAATGTGCCATATTTTTCTGCACAATAGATTTTAAGCTAAATTGGCCCAAAACAAGAGGGATGCTGAATGCTTTTTGTAACCATGGAAACATTTCTGGGCACTTACCGAGGACCTGGCTGCCAGTAGTAAATGTAACAGAGAAAATAGACACGCTTCATTTAGCAGTTGCTGATGATTAAGAGGCAGAGAGAGTACTTACAGCGACATCCCAAGATAGGCTTTTTGGTTTAAAGACCCAGATCCAAACACCGACTTCCCATCGGACAAGCAGCTGTGACACCCTTGATATGTTGCAAGAAGGAGTTCTAATTGTGTTGGGGAAAAAAACTCTTCTTTGTTTTCAGCTTTTCACTTGAGGGTGTGTGTGTGTGTGTGTGTGTGTGTGTGTGTGTGTGTGTGTGTGTGTGTGTGTGTGTGTCTGTTTTTTTTTAAACCACATATATTTGTTTCCAAGAAATATGCTTGCTATTTCCTGAAATAGCCTGCTAATGGAATTAATGTGCTTCAAGTCCATGGCCATAGAGAACTTTGGAAGCAATCCTTGGCATGATGGACTGGATTTAGAGGACACAACAGCAGGCTCGGAGAGCATGGTGACATAATGTCACTTTCTAGCCAGGTTTTTGTACCAGGGGAAGGTAATGGGGAAGGGAAGAACAATCCCACCATGCCCTTAGTTTGTGGCCGATGTCAGCCGTCGCGGGTGGAAAGGCCTCGGGATTGTTGGTGGCAGTCAGGAGGAAGTGGTGTCAGGTATTACAGTGCAGCCAACTCAGCTTCAACCAGCTCCATCTTTTCTGGAGGATGAGTGGCTTACAGGACAGCTGTCTCCGTCTCCCCTTTCTTCTTTTCTCTGCCCAGCGGGGACTTTTCTTTGCCATTGCAGGAATGTGGTCCCGAAAGCAAGCCTATCCCATGTTAAGTCTATCTTCATCCATCAGTCCTGGCTTACACAGCATTTGCCGGCAAGTTCTTTTGTCATCCAGAACCAGCTAGGGAAAAGGTTTGTTATTCTGCCATGCTTTGAGGATCTGTCCTTTGGAAGCTTCGTGAACTCAACTTCCTTGATATTCCATCCTGCACATTTTAGAACAGCTAACCATCAGCGATGCTCGAGGAACTGGCATGCACTTTTCAGATCTTGGTCCTGAGGCAAGGACATTGCTGCTGCTGCTTCTGCTACCTGTTTCTGGAGTTTTGTGTCATCCTCTGAAGAAATGTCAGGGAGGCAACAGAATTTTAGATGGACAGAAATTTGGGGCTGGAGAGATGGCTCAGCCATTAAAAGGCTGGGCTCACAGCCAAAAATATAAGAAACTTGAAGGTCTAATTTATGGCAAGGATCAAAGTATGGATCCCATATTTCTCACCCTGATTTCTGTTTGTTACTATGAAAGGATGCTGGGAAAATGGAAGGGTAGGTCTAAGTGACATAATAAAATCTGCCCCCACCCCCGTTTTTCATGCTCACTGTTATTAGGAATGGATTAGAGGAATTTAAGGCAAGTTACAATCCAAATAAGTTTCAACTCTATTTTATCAGTTCCCAAGGGATCACAAATTCTTCTGTAGTTGTGGGATTAATGAAAGCTGTTGTGAAGTTCCCTTTGCCCTTGTAATGTATCTGGGGTGCCCTTACATCCAGTTAGCCAGTCTAAAGGAGAGGGTGCTGGGGCCAGCCAGGAACCATGAGCTTCCTGAAACGACTTCTTGATACGTTTTCACACTGAGGGAGACTCTTGCTTGCTGTATGTTTAGTTTTTCAAAACCATGGCAACACATGCACCATCTTCTTCCCCTCTGCCATCTAAGACAATCTTAGATGGTCTTTTCATAAAAAACCCAGAGCCAGATATCAGGGTGAAAGCTGAAAGATCAGGGAAGCAGAACAGCCAGCCACTAGTTCTTACCTCTACGAAATCCTCAGCCTAAAGAGAGAGAGTTCCTGTTTCCTCCTGCCTTATATACCTTTCTCTGTCCTGCCATATTACTTCCTGGGATCAAAGGTGTGTGTGCTTCCGAAGCAAAGGCATGAGATAAAAGCAAAGGTTGGAATTAAAGGCGTGTGCCACCACTGCCTGACCTCTATGTCTAATCTAGTGGCTGGCTGTTCTGCTTTTCTGATCTTTCAGTTTTCACCCTGGTATCTGGCTCTGTTTTTTTTTTTTTTTTAAAATTAAAAGACCATCTAAGATTCGAACAACAATCCCCCACAGAGACCCCTTCACATCCACTCCTGAGACTCTGGTTTCCATAGAAGAGACTTACGATGGAAAGTGTCTGTACTGTGATTTAAGCTGTCCTTCTCTCTGGGCTCCTGCTGCTGATGCCAGGGGGAAGTCTGGGTCCTTACTAATGGAGTTCTGAGTGCCCTTTATATTTCTTAGCTTTTAAATGCATTTGTGAAACATTTCAAAAGCATAGAAAAATATAGAGGAATATCACAAATCTGTCACATAACTTGGCCACGTCTTAGCATTTTGCTATATTTAATTCAGATTTATTATAAAGAAGCCATCTAGGCCAGATGGAAATAAAGTCTCCTGAGAGAGTCTCTTTGCTTTTTTACTTTTCTCTACTCACTAGGGGTGGAACACATCTATATTTGGGCATTATGATTCCAACGGTGTTTTTATTCTTTTGCTGACAAGCATATGTATCTATAAGCTATACATGCTTTTTGGGATGCTTGTGTGAGTGCAGGTACGTGGAGAGCAGAGGACCACCTCAGGTGTCATCCTCAGAAGTACCACCTACCTCCTCTGAGACATGATTTCTCACTGGTCCAAGCTTTGCAAAGAGGTTAGGCTGACTGGGATTACACGTATGTCACCGCACCTGGAAAATCATACCCTTACATGTTTCCACAGCTTATGCAGGTGATATACGATTGAACACACCCTGTAACTTGTTTTCTCTTCCCACTCGGTGTATGTTTTGAGTTATATGGATAGATGTAGATTGGTTGATGTCACCTGATTTTGTAGTGTTAGTCAACTGCTCATCAAGCTATTCTTCATGCCTTGCTAGGGTTGCTAATAGTTTGATAGCATGAATATCTCTGTGAGCAGGTACACTGGAGTTCATTTTTATGGAGCCACAATCCTACTTCAATTCTTTCTTAAACTAGGACATTTCTTCCCTGGTTGAGATTCTTTGAATAAATTGTCATCACCTCTTGCTTTTTCCTCGGGTGGTTCAAATTGGTTCCTGTTCCCCTGCAGCCAAGAGAGTTGTAATCGATAGAGTACTTTAGTCACTTAAAGAATCTAACTTTTAGATGTTGTGTAGTTTTCCACAGTGTGTTTTAATAATGAATAAGTGATTGAGAACATGAAGCAGTGATATTTAATTTAGGAGGTGTACAGGCCCCTTTGAAATGTAAAATGGTCTCATCCCTATGACTATCCAAATGTGAGCTAAACAAGGGCATCATGGACAACCCACAAGGCCTCAGCCCTGCATACGGAACTATAGACAACCGAGAAAGACTGGAAATGGGAGAGGTGCTCTTCCTCAGGGAAGAGTACACGAATTGGTTGTCAGTACCCAAATGGTCAGCTCTGAAAATATACATACACATAACATTATAAAGACCGACCAGATTATACTTAAGGACATATATGAATCTAGCTATACATATATGCATGCAATAGCAATTAGCAAAAAAAGAGACCATGAATTTGAAGGGAGGTGGGGGGATTGGAGGAGGAAAGGGGAAGGAAAAATGTATTATAATCTTAAAATAAAATAAAAAGAAAGCTATGAACTTACTTATCTGCAAAAGTACATAGTAGAATAGACTTTTTTTTTTTTTTTTTTTTGGTTTTTCGAGACAGGGTTTCTCTGTGTAGCTTTGCGCCTTTCCTGGAACTCGCTTTGGAGACCAGGCTGGCCTTGAACTCACAGAGATCCGCCTGGCTCTGCCTCCCGAGTGCTGGGATTAAAGGCATGCGCCACCACCGCCCGGCCAAGAATACACTTTTTAAAGTGTGTGTGGAATTTCATGGGTATATGGACCTCCTGAAATTCATCTGTGGTAGTAAGATTAAAATCTACCGAGTTTGTAAGAGTAGACTGTTGGTGATGCCTCGGGGCTCCTGTAGTTGAGACCTAGGTTGTCCTCTGATGTTCCATGTGTTAAGTTCCCTAGCTCGATTACTGTAAAGGTAGCATGTCTTGATGGGGTGCCCTTGAAGGAGAGTGGGACCTCAGCCCCTCTATGGTTTTGCATTTGCCCTTGAAGTGAGCTGTTCCCTTCACCATGTCCTCCCCCAGCACCGTAAGCTTCCCCACGGCAGCCAACTGACTGGCCTGAAACCTCCCAACCCATCATCCAAGGTAAACCTTCTCTCTTTCCAACTTGATAATTGCATGTATTTGTTACAGTAATGGCTGACAGTAGGCGAGCCGACCATTTGTGCTATTTTATTTGTAATCTGGTTTTTCTCCTAAGAAGATAAAATCAGAGATAGGCAGTAAGATTGGTATTGGATCTTAGATTGTTGTCTCAGCCCACATCCATTCCTCTGCTTGGAATGGTGGGGATTAGAATCCCAAAAGTTGGAATTCTTTTTGAAGGCGCATCCTCCTAGCTTGAGCTAAGAAGAACGTTAAAGGGACATTGAAAGATGGAGTGGGGAGGGAGAAGGACTCCCCATCCTTGGCACCCCAGGACAGCCCTGTTGTTAGCAGTTCACACTGGCAGGCTCCGCCTTGCTGAAACCCTCCCAGAGGCAATAGGGCCAGCCCCAGTTTCCACCCCTTAGATGATGGCCGCTCACCTCTGGGATGTTCCTCCTCTGAGTGCCTGTGCAGGTGACGCCCCCCAGATGTCCCTGCTTCAGATGTGTGGGGCCTCACCTCATCTCTGAGCTGCTGGCTTCAGACAACTTGGACTGCCGCTTCCCTTTGTTTCTTCAGCCCAGGCAGGAGGAGGAATTGCTTCCTATGGTTACAGCTCTTGGCCTGCCTGTGTGTTATTCTTTCTGCGAGTTCAGTTTTTACTATTCGTGAAACCAGTTCTCCATGCTAAGTTCCCTTTGTGGAGAGAGTTCCTTCTTCTCTGGCTGAAGCTTGACCATTTGGACAGTGAAAGGGCTACCTTGAGGTAGAAATAGAAAAAATTAGCTGTGCGAAGAGTAGAATCATCAGGTTGACTGAGACGTTACAGAAATAGGTGCAATAGAGAGCTAGGTTTTATTCACATATAATCATCACTAGCTAAGTAAGCATAGTGTGCCTGGTAATGCATGCTGTGTAGAAAAATGAGGAGAATAAGGAGACACAAAGTGTGGGTAAGTGCTCCTTTGTATAGGGCTGCCTTCTATTTTCACATAGAATGACCCCTTAGGCAGCATCTAAGCAGAGACTTAAGCAATGGAGAAAAAAGTTTTCTGTGGATACCCGAGTAAAGAGTAATATTTTGTATAATAGAAAAATAAATGTACCTAGCATGGGACGGGGTGACTGTGCTTGGCAGGTTGATTCTATGTGTGCCCTTACGCAAGCTTATCAGGTTGTGGTCATAACTGTACCCGCCCAGTTGTTGATTAGGCATTTCTACCATCTTTGATATTTCCTAATTGTCTCCTAAATTTTTACTTAGAGATGTTGGGTGTGGGACCATCACTGGAGACATTTTTGTTCAAATGTTCCAAGAATTTTTATATCATTTCAAAACTGTTTCATTGGAGGACAAGAAATAATTTTGAAGCTGACACTTGGAGTGCTGTGTTCATCTTCTCTAGATCATAGCATGTTTCAAAAGCCAAATGAGAGCAGCAAGCCTTTTCTGGGACTCCCTCGCTTCTGGTCTGTTTTGATCCTGCAGAAAGGGGCCGTGACTAAACTATGTTCAGAAGGATGGTTAGCTGTTCTCCACTATGTGAGCCCATGACAAGAAATGACTTTCATTTGAGTCTGGCTGAAACAGTTTGCATGTGAGCCAGTATTTCTTTTCCTTCTGCTTTTCTTTGCAAAGTTGGACCCAACCATAAAAGGCATTATGGCTTTTGCCTCAAGAGCTACACTATTTTCCTACCTGAACCGACCTTAAATCACATGAGGAACTTCTCAGTTTCTTATAAGCAAAAACAAACAAAAAACAAAAACGAAAAAAGGGGAGTGAGCTCAAATAATTGATCAATCTTGGTACAAGTTAGTTTCATGGGACTTTTATCCGGAAGTTCAATTTTTCTTTGGGATATAGTCTCTTTTCTTCTATCTCAAATTTCTTGTCTTTCTTTCCTTCTGGGTTGGCTCTATTCTCAAACTGCATGATAATGAAATGGCTAATAAAAACTCTTTTTAAAAAAATATGCTATTTGGTTCCAATTTGGTGGAGAAAAATATCCTCACTTTCTGGAAATTAAAAATATTAATTTTGGAATCTGAACCACCTGGTTTGATTTGCTTGATTGGATTTGAATTATGTGGCACATATTAGTGATAATGAAAGTCATGGAGCTGTGATGCTCTGATTAGCCAGGCCTATGTCTCCTGCCACTTCTGGAGAGGGAACTGAAAGGACCTTTTCCAGAAGCATAGTCTGAAAGTGATGGGAGGAAAAAGAGGAAAATAAAGATTCTGGAAGCTGGGAGAATAGATGTTGTATTGCACAAGGAGCCATGTCAGAGGAGTCCATGTCTTCCACGAGCATTGCCACTGTTCTTATTTCGCATTTTGGCTTGGCTTACAAGTTAGCTTCAGGAATAAGTCTAGGTTCCCGTGTCACTGCATGTGCCTTATGTCACCCCAGGTGCCAGAGACAGCTGCTTCCTGGTGCATATGGATGCATGTCTGCCAAACCAGGCAAAGCAGTATTTCATCTGCTGCCCTGCATCATCTGTTCCTGCTGATCTAGTTCATCGTTCCTTTGGATGTTAGAAAATGGCCCCAAACATCTGTCCCGGCTGAGGCAACTACACAGAATCTCTTTTAGTTAGCTACAGCTGTGTAACAGACCATCCCAAAACTTGGTGGCTTAAAACCACACCAATTTTTCTCAGTTTTTGTGGGCAGACATCTGGGTACATTTTAGCTGAGTCCCTTGCTCAGATGTCACAAGGCTGTAAGAAAAGAACAGCTAGGTTCTGTTCTTATCTGGGCTTTGGACAGGAGGAAAATTTACTTCAAAACTCCCCCAGGTTCTTGGAAGAATGAATGCTTCTGTAGACACAGGATTGAGAGCACTGGATTCTCTACCTATAATTCCTAGAGGCCCTCACACTTCCTTCTTCAAGATAGTTGCTTTCTTTGTCAAGGTGTAGAGTCTGGTAGCAAAAAGAATGCCATGTTGTGTAATATAGTCATGGATGTGGCATCCTGCCACATCTGTCATGCTCTGCTGGCACCAGAAAATCACAAATGCCACCCTGGAAGGGGAGGGCTCAAACAAAGATGTGGACTGTAGAGTGTGGGCTGTGGTGGTCTGCCTACTACCGGATCCTAGGTTGGCTGTCTACATGGAGAAATGACATGAAAAGAAAGCATTACTAAAATATCTTTATGAGTTATTTGTTCTCGTGGTTTTTTTTTTTTTTAAGTGGAAAATGGTATTTTTATCTTGAAAGGCAACTGCTATTTTACCTTGGCTGTTCTGCAAATGGTACGTTCAGGATCCGTTCTTAAGAAGCCTTTAGGTAGAAGCTAGATCTGGGGACTCAAATTGGTTTTGAAATCGTAAGCAGTGTAAAAAGGAGCAGATTTCACAGCAAAAGCCAACACTGGCACATGGTTTCTGATGGAAAATCCCCAAGCTGGGAGACTATGTTATGAATCTTGATTGGTTTGGTAGATCACTTGAGGTGATCAGTTGACCTTCTCAGTTGCTGATATCAGTACTAATAAATACAGCACTGACAGGAATTCACTAAACTTTACCCAAAATTATGGGCTAGATATTTTACAAACATTATATTTTAAAATCGTTATTATAAGCTCTTAAAGTATGAGCAGGATAATGACAGATTATTATCTCTTCTTTAGAAGAAAATATATTTAGGTAAGTAATTCATACTTCTGGTGATAAAGAAACTGGGGTTCCAAACAGCGTGGATCTAACTCCCATCAGGGCTGCTGTCTGGAAATGGGACGATGCTCTCCCGTACCCATCCTTTTCCTCTGTTGATTAAAGTCTAACTCAGTAGCAGTTGCTGGCAACAAAGAAATTTCTTGTCATTATAGTTACTTTAAAAAAAAAGAAAAACTTCATTTTTAGTATAGTGTGTGTGTGTGTGTGTGTGTGTGTGTGTGTGTGTGTGTGTGTTGCTCATATGCCATGGCTCTCAGGCAGAGGTCAGAGGACAACTTTGTGGAATACGGTCTCCCTTCCTTTTACATGAGCCCTTGAGATGGAACTCAGATGGTCCAGCTTGAGAAGCAAGCGTCTGTGCCTACTGAGCCACCTCACTGGCCTCAGCATTATACTTTCTTCTAGCAAACCTCACTAAGAATGTGGTTTAAGGAATTCATGTGGAAAACTTCCTCTCTTTCCCTTCCTTCTTCTGAGTCTGAAATGTACCTCTTCGGCTTGTGTGTTAGTGCTTGCATCCCCATCTTGTGGTGCTGTTTTGGGGACACTCTGAGACCTTTAGTACCAGGGGCCAACTTGGAGGAGGTGTCATTGGAGGCATCTTGTCCCTAGCTCCTTTTTTCTCTCTGTCTGGAGGTGAGCAGTCTTCGTCACATACTCCTCTACCCATGTAGTTCTGCCCAAGTTCATGAAGCCGAGTGACCACACACTGAACCTTCTGAAACAGAACACAAACAAATCTTCTACTTGAAAAGCCGTTTCTGCCAGATAGTCTGCCACAGTGATGAGAAAAGCACCTCTCTGCTCATTGTGATTTGCCCCCCCCCACTCCCACAACAAGCATGCTTTTCAGATTGTGAGTATGCTCCGCAGCCCCTTCACCCTGTCATCTGTCAACCCTCCCATTTTACTTATTTTGACAATAAAAATCGTTGGCCATGCTTCCCCTAAAACTCCTCCATCATCTGGGTTCTAGACTCCACTTGTCCCTGGCTTTCTCCTTAACCCATCTAGCCATTTCTTTTCACTTACCGTATACACTTGTTTATATCTCCCACCGCATCCTCGTCTCTTATCTGGACTCCTCTACTATCCACTTACCTTCCTTGGGATGGTGTCACACACCTGAAGGTTCAACATGCTTAAAGGGATCATGTTCTATGATGGAAGTCTGGTTATGAGAGCAAGATAGCAGTTTTTCCTCAATTTCTCCTCCACCACAGATTCCACCCTAACTTCATTAGGTCTATAGATACTAAAGCCATTCTCTATCATGTAAAAGCAACTTCTGCCTTCACTGCTTTACTCTGGGTCTTCTGCATCCCCCGTCAGTGTCAGTCCACTTCAGTGATGTCTTGCCTGCTCTCTTTGTTTTTGTTACTCTCTTGTCTTTGTTCATTTGACACTGCGTCAGATCCCTTTGCCTACAAAAGCATTTCAGCGAAGACACATAGCCTCTAATGATTTGGGCCCATGGCCTTCCAGCATCTCAAAACACTCAGTGACCCTCACACCTAAAACCATTGCTTCTCTCCCTGCCCTCGTGCTTACCTATCAACTACGAGGGGGTGTAAAGGGTTGGTTGACTGCCCTCATTCCTCACGAGTGGATTGCAGACCGCATTGCCTCCAGGAAGTAAGCCTTCCCGGTTGGTCTTCATTCTCTAGTCATTATCACAGTCTACAGGGTTCCTTGCCCCGCCCTTTCCTGGCAGTTGGCTTCTTTGCAGTGATGAAAAGCACAATGTGCTGGTTAGTAATGTACATTTTATGTTTCCATTTTTAAAAATAAGTTCCTGTGATGTTCTTTAAAAAAAAAAAATTACATCCTGGCACTTAGCACAACATCTGTTTCATGAAGGAGAAACAACAACAAAACAAAAACCAAATTCTTTAATGAGCAAAACCAAACCTAATATTAACTGCTACAAATGGATCTTATCACCCTCAGGAAGACGGTCCATGTGGGAATATCCCTGTAGACGAATTTCTAAACAGTCTTATTAAATAAGAAACACAGAGCCAAATACAGGGGTGCAAGCCATAGAATTCAGAGAAATAGTGAGAGCCACCAGCTAACCTTAGCTCACCAAGCTGCCGTAGCTTCCCCAGAGAGAGCTTCTTCCTGTCTAACCTGTGCCTTTATTGCCTTGCTGTTCTGGCTTCTCATTGGCTCTTAGCCCAGCTACCTCATTTCCTCACCATTGCCTATCTGAACAGACCTCCAGGTCTCTATGGTTGGTACTGGGATTAAAGGCATGTGTTACCATGCTTGACTGTGTCCTTGAACACACAGTCTCTACCTGCCATGTGATTGGATTAAGGGTGTGTGCTACCACTGCCTGACTTCTGTTTATGTCTGGCTATGTCCTCTGATCTCCAGGCAAACTTTATTTATTAACATACAAATAAAATATCACCACATTTCTCCTTTTTCTCTAATAAAAATAAAAAATAATAAAAAAGCTATAACTAATATAAGAAAAACTATATACAATTAGTACAATAACTATATATATATATAAAAGCAACAAATACATCAACAATGTCTAGTCCATTTGCATTTGACAAACTCAGAGAAAATATTCCATTATCTATCCAATTTTGGTGAGTCCAAAAATGTACCTAATTCACTTTCTATCCTAACTTGTATTACCTACAGAAATCTATCTTATGATGTCTTTCAAACTTAGACATCTTACACCTCTTTAGTGAGTTTCTTTTCTGAAATTCTTTTTTTTTTTTTGGTTTTTCGAGACAGGGTTTCTCTGTGTAGCTTTGCGCCTTTCCTGGAACTCACTTGGTAGCCCAGGCTGGCCTCGAACTCACAGAGATCCGCCTGGCTCTGCCTCCCGAGTGCTGGGATTAAAGGCGTGCGCCACCACCGCCTGGCTTCTTTTCTGAAATTCTTAACAGGGAAATCTATCTAATCTTCAACTCCTTCAGAGACCCAAGAAGGAAATAATATTACCTAAAAAACCAGGAAGTGCAAACAAGCAACTTCCAAAAAAATTCGAGTTGACAGAAATGCCCAGCTGCCTGGACAGTCACTCGAGGTTTCTCTGCAACGTTGGGGCATCATCTTCAACCCATAGGCTTGGTGTATCTGACAGACTCATTTGTGAAGTAGGATGTACACAAGGCCTACAGCTCGACCTCACATTTGGTGTGAGTATTCCATGTACCAGATAAACATAAATTCCACCAGTATCCTGTCATGATTCAGGACTTTAACTCTGGAAATTTTTGGTGTTTTTGGAATTTGGCTGTCCATTCTTCTCGGCTTGTGGGTGGCTTCATCTCCTTTATTAAATGCCAGTCTGCCACTGAGAGGTTAGACTTCGTCAGCCTAGTTACTCCTTGAAGAGTTACTGTTTCAGCTGCTGTTCCACTGCACATCAGAAGCCATCAGCCCACTGCCTGTTCAGCTGCCTTTGAAGAAAGGGGCACTGCACCTTTTCCGGATTGCAAGGCCACTTCAGCAATGGTGCCATACTGCCCTGGCCTCAGAGGATGCCTGTTGCCAAAGCCACAACCACACTTGTCTTGGCAAGGATCGGTAGTCCTTTGTTTTGTGTCCTGTCTGTCCACTTTGGATAGCATACTATCAACAGTCGATTCGAGGGCACTTTGTTGCCCAGTGGCTAACTTTTGCCACAATGAAGGTTAACTCCATATGCAGTTTCTTCAATGCCCATATCTTTTCTGAAAAAAATCTAAGTTATTAAAAAATTTTAAATGCCATATTCTGTAGATCTCTGAAGGGTTTGAAGATGACCTGCCTATCTAAAATATCTCTGCTCAACCTTGAAAACATACCTAATATGACTACAAGTTCGATTGTAATGTCTAACTACTAACTTCCATTTCTTTATATCCTAATAGTTGGTAATAATAACATTTAAGGATTAGCAAATTATATTACATTGTTAATTGAACTGTATAAGTACAATATCCTGAACAAGATTAGAAATATACGTACAGTATTTTCTAACAATATCAATCTCAATATATAATTTGTATACAATATATAAAAATCCAATCCAATGTAAAGTATTTAAAATTAGCAGTTGTCTTTCAAAAGTAGATTCAATAATCTATCTTTTTATTTATAACATATCTATATCCTTTCTTCTTTTCAGAGTAGATTCAATAATCTACCCTCTATTCTATCATTTCTGTATATCTTTTTTTTCAAACAAGAACCTTAAATCTAATCTCCTTTGTTTAGCCCTTTTCCTAATCATTAACAGCAACAACTTGTAACCAATCCTCCTAAACAATGAAAATTATCCCAAACCCGAAACCCATCGAAAGACCAAAAACCACCCGCCCCACCCCACCTCTTTTGGGAATGTGGGCTTCATGTTCTTAAAATTGCTTCCTGCTATTTGTGGGCGAAATCATCTTTAGGGGATTCTGAAAAGAAATTTTTTTGGGTTAATTGTCAAGTTCTGGTAGAGGTAGCTATATCATTTGTTGTCCTGTCTCTGCATAATGCCAAAGTGCAGGGCTTATCTCAAGTACTTGTTTGAGTAGTCTGTGAGGTTGGATCATCTCAGCTAGCCATCTTGAAATTGTTTTGAGCAGTTTTGTAGTCCAAAGCTCATCTTTGGGTGATTTTTGTCAGCTTAGTGGTATTATTATTGTCCATGTGGAATCATAGTTATGGGGCCCCATTATCTTTCTGGAGACTTCAAATTTGATGTTAGGTCTGGTTGTGATTCCCTACAGAAAACTGATAGAGAGTCAAACAGAAAAACATGTACAGGCAGCTAACTGAAGCCTTTTTTCTAGAATCAGTTATTACTCTATATGACCATTAATATCATAACAAAAGTTTAAAAAATATATTAATCTTATAAATTTTGATATAAAATTCATACCTTAAGAAAAGTTTAAAGAATCAAAATAGAACCAAAGAATTGAGATTAGTAGCAGTAGAATAGTCCCTTACTTTTTTTTTCTTCTGTCCCATATCAGAAGATGACTCTTTCTTCTAACATGATACAAAGATTTTGCATTTTCCTTTTAACAACATGCTTGGGTTTAAAGAAGGAGAGAGCCATTCTCCAACTCTAAAGCCAGCTTTAATTTTTAATTGAACTGGGACTGTAGAAAGACCATTTGTATTAAGTATCTGTAGAGAACAGCAGAAACAAACATTTAGGAAGACTTATGAAACTTTATAAGTGATATACCAATAGGCCAATTTACTCTTTTTCTTGGGACATTTTTTTTCTGTATGATTTGTTCTTTTTCTTCAGATGTCTCATTTGTACAGTGTTCTTCAGATTCCTTAGCCTTCATTCTCCTGAAAGACAAAAACAAAAACCTTTCTCCAAGACTAACTTTGGGGAGGTTCCCTTTTGGCAAGTTATATTTGATTAAATTTGTTAATGGTATAAGTTAGTTTAAATTGGATGGTTATGCTGGTTGATGAACTATCACCTCTTTTAATTAATAGGTCTCTCTTGTTCAAATTGAACCATTATCAATTTTGATGGTATTCACAGCTTATCTTCTCCTGTAGAAACAAAAGCAAAACCTTGTCTCCAACATGACACATATCCTGGTTTCCATTCTGAGGTCAGCACATCTTTAAAGTATATTGGCTGATTTAATTCTGTAGTTTTTTTCTATTATCCAGTGTCTCTCACCAGCTGTTGTTCCTGTATCATTAGCATCGAGAAAATTCAAAGTTAATAGAGCATTATGT